GTGAGGTCCTGTTGCTGGTCTAGTGCAGTGTGAGGTCCTGCTGCTGCTGCTGGTCTAGTGCAGTGTGAGGTCCTGCTGCTGGTCTAGTGCAGTGTGAGGTCCTGCTGCTGCTGCTGGTCTAGTGCAGTGTGAGGTCCTGCTGCTGGTCTAGTGCAGTGTGAGGTCCTGCTGCTGGTCTAGTGCAGTGTGAGGTCCTGCTGCTGGTCTAGTGCAGTGTGAGGTCTGCTGCGGTCTAGTGCAGTGTGAGGTCGTACTGCTGGTCTAGTGCAGTGTGAGGTCCTGCTGCTGGTCTAGTGCAGTGTGAGGTCCTGCTGCTGCTGCTGGTCTAGTGCAGTGTGAGGTCCTGCTGCTGGTCTAGTGCAGTGTGAGGTCCTGCTGCTGGTCTAGTGCAGTGTGAGGTCCTGCTGCTGGTCTAGTGCAGTGTGAGGTCCTGCTGCTGCTGGTCTAGTGCAGTGTGAGGTCCTGCTGCTGGTCTAGTGCAGTGTGAGGTCCTGCTGCTGGTCTAGTGCAGTGTGAGGTCCTGCTGCTGCTGGTCTAGTGCAGTGTGAGGTCCTGCTGCTGGTCTAGTGCAGTGTGAGGTCCTGCTGCTTGTCTAGTGCAGTGTGAGGTCCTGCTGCTGGTCTAGTGCAGTGTGAGGTCCTGCTGCTGGTCTAGTGCAATGTGAGGTCCTGCTGCTGGTCTAGTGCAGTGTGAGGTCCTGCTGCTGGTCTAGTGGAGTGTGAGGTCCTGCTGCTGGTCTAGTGCAGTGTGAGGTCCTGCTGCTGGTCTAGTGCAGTTTACCTGGAGTTTACCTGGAGAGAGTTTCGGGGGTCAACGCCCCCGCGGCCCGGTCTGTGACCAGGCCTCCTGGTGGATCAGCGCCTGATCAACCAGGCTGTTGCTGCTGGCTGCACGCAAACCAACGTACGAGCCACAGCCCGGCTGATCAGGAACTGTCTTTAGGTGCTTGTCCAGTGCCAGCTTGAAGACTGCCAGGGGTCTGTTGGTAATCCCCCTTATGTGTGCTGGGAGGCAGTTGAACAGTCTCGGGCCCCTGACACTTATTGTATGGTCTCTTAACGTGCTAGTGACACCCTGCTTTTCATTGGGGGGATGGTGGCATCGTCTGCCAAGTCTTTTGCCTTTCGTAGTGAGGATTTTCGTGTGCAAGTTTGGTACTAGTCCCTCTAGGATTTCCAGGTGTATATAATCATGTATCTCTCCCTCCTGCGTTCCAGGGAATACAGGTTTAGAAACCTCAAGCGCTCCCAGTAATTGAGTGTTTTATCTCCGTTATGCGCGCCGTGAAAGTTCTCTGTACATTTTCTAGGTCGGCAATTTCACCTGCCTTGAAAGGTGCTGTTAGAGTGCAGCAATATTCCAGCCTAGATAGAACAAGTGACCTGAAGAGTGTCTCATGGGCTTGTGCCTCCCTAGTTTTGAAGGTTCTCATTATCCATCCTGTCATTTTTCTAGCAGATGCGATGATACAATGTTATGGTCCTTGAAGGTGAGATCCTCCGACATAATCACTCCTAGGTCTTTGACGTTGGTTTTTTTCGCTCTATTTGTGGCCAGAATTTGTTTTGTACTCTGATGAAGATTTAATTTCCCTCATGTTTACCATATCTGAGTAATTGAAATTTTTTCATCGTTGAACTTCATATTGTTTTCTGCAGGGCCCCCTGAAAGATTTGGTTGATGTCCGCCTGGAGCCTTGCAGTGTCTGCAATTGGAAGACACTGTCATGCAGATTCGGGTGTCATCTGCAAAGGAAGACACGGTGCTGTGGCTGACATCCTTGTCTATGTCGGATATGAGGGGGGGAACAAGATGGGGGCTAGTACTGTGCCTTGTGGGACAGAGCTTTTACCGTAGCTGCCTCGGACTTTACTCTGTTGACGACTACTCTCTGTGTTCTGTTAGTGGGAAATTATAGATCCATCAACCGATTTTTCCTTTATTTTTAGCGCGCATTTTGTGCGCTATTACCCAGGGTCCCCTTTGCAAAGGGTTTTTGCAAAGTTTATATATTACTCTGCTTCTTTTTGTTTTTAGTGCATTTAGGACCTTGTCTAGTGCCATAGTTGAACAGACGGGAGCGACCTTTTCTAAACCCTTTCCCCGGGGTTTTGTAACTGAGGGGTTTCAAAGGGGTGGTGATTTTGCTTTTTTAGGACCCTTTCAAAGTTTTTTTATGATATGGATGTTATGTATTGTCGTAGTTCTTTGCTGTTGCTTTACTGCCCCCTTTTGGGGGTGGGGCTATGTCTGTTTTTTTAGAAAACGGGGGACGACCCCCGGTCCATGCCCCCTCTCCATGGAGGGAAAAGGGCCGGATAGGGGCTTTTTTGCAGTTCTTGATGAACACAGGTTCCATGATCGGGCCCCTGGGGCAGAGTGCTGGGCAGTCTTTTAAACGCCTTTTTTCGAAGTCATTTGGGTCGGGAAAAATCGGATAGGCTTGTGTTAGCAAATTTTTTGGCCTCCATAAAAAATTATTTTGGTCTTCGACTCTCAGTCTGGTTACGGCTTCTAAAAACATCTTTTGGGACTTGAGTAGCTCATCTTTCCTTGCTGTCATCTGTGTAGGACCATTTTGTTTAAGTGGGGGCCCAATCTGGACGTTGTTCCGTTTTTGATTTGGCAAGGAGAAGAAATACTTTGGGTTTCTTTCTTTTTCTTTAGGGCTTTTGTTCTTCCGCGATTCCTGACCCCAAAAGGATTCTTTTAGTTTAATTCGATGCTTGCTTTTTCCACCATTCTCCCTGCGCATTCAGTTTTTTGACCTCTTTTACCCCTTGTTATTTTTTTTTTCCGTCGCCTGAAAAGGGAGCGCCTGTCTCTTTCTTTTTTACATCTACTCCTCCTTTTTCTTAGAGGAAAAACCTTGTCATACTCGAGTGCCACCGAGTTAATCTGTTCTAGGCAAAGTTTGGTCTGTGTTCTTAGATATCTTCCCAGCTTATATGGGTTAGGATTTGGGTTTACTTGGTCCCACTTTATTTTTTTTTATTGAATTTAAATTTTTGGTGAATGTCCCCTGACTAGTCCTTTTTGTCGGTTGGGGCTCCTGCATACATGTCTAAACCTCAATTATTTTGTGTCGGTATATTGTTTTTGTTTATGGTGACATTTCTATCAATCATCATTTTTAGTGAAGATGAGGTCTATTATTCCAGTCTTGTAGGCCATATTTGCTGGTTTAAATTGAATTTTGTGCAGAGATTTAAAAGCTCGTGTGAGTGTGAGTTTTCATCAGGCCCCTCCTGGTGTTTTTTCTGCAACAATATTATTTGCTATTTTCCTCCATTTTTTGGGGCCTTAAATTGAAAACCCCCCGGAGCCAGATTTGGGTGAGGAGCTTTGGAAAATTTTCCAGCAGTGGTCAATTTTTTTTAAAAGGTCCTGGAATTGCTGGGGTTTCATCCGGAGGCTTGTAGATCCACAATGACTAGGTTTTGGTTTCCCCGACCTTTTAGCTAAAATTTTCCCCTACGTCATTTGAGGCATTAAGCAGTTCGTGCAAAAAAAGTGACTCTGCCAAAGTACAGGCCAGTGTGAGGTCCTGCTGCTGGTCAGTGCGTGTAGGTCCTGCGCTGGGGCTATTTCAGTGTGAGGTCCTGCGCTGTCTAGGGAGTGGGGGAGGTCCGCTGCTGGGGCAGTGCAGTGTGAGGGGCCTTCTGCGGTCTAGTGCAGTTGAGGTCCCGCTGCTGGTCGTGCATTTAGTCCTGCGCTGGTCTAGTGATGTGAGGCCGCGTGGTCTAGTGAGTGTGAGGGCCGCGCTGGCTATGCAGGTAGGTCCTGCTGCTGGTCTAGTGCAGTGTAGGCCCCGTGGGCTATGCATGTGAGGGCCTGCTGTGGTCTAGTGCAATTAGGTCCTGCTGCTGGTCTAGTGCAGTGTGAGGTCCTGCTGGGTCTAGTGCAGTTGAGGTCCTGCTGTGGTCTATGGTGGGGTCCTGCCTGGGGCTAGTGCATGTGAGGTCCGCTGCTGGTCTAGTGCATGTGATCCTGCTGCTGGCTAGTGCAATGTAGGTCCTGCGTGGGCTGTGGAGTGTGAGGTCGTGCTGCTGGCTAGTGCAGTGTGAGGGCCGCTCTGGTGTAGTGCAGTGTGAGGGCCGTTGCGGCAGTGCATGTGAGGTTCCTGCTGCTGCTGCTGGTCACTGCTTTTTGAGGGCCGCTGCTGGGCTAGTGCATGTGAGCCTGTTGCTGGCTAGTCAGTGTGAGGTCCCGTGCGGTCTATGCAGTGTGAGGTCGTACTCTGGTCATGCAGGTGAGGCTGCTGCTGGTCTAGTGCAGTGTGAGGCCCTGCGCTGTGGGGTTTGTGCAGTGTAGGTCCCGCTCCTGCTGGCTATGCATGTGGGTCCTGCGCTGGGGCTAGTGCAGGTGAGGTCCGTTGCTGGGCTAGTGCAGTGTGAGGGGCCGCTGCTGGGGCTAAATGCAGTGTGAGGTCCTGCGCTGGGCTAGTCGTGTGAGTCCTGCTGCGGGCAGTGCAGGGGGTTTTTGGGCCGCTGCTGGGTGGGCAGTGCAGTGGAGGGTCCTGTGTGGTCATGCAGTGGAGTCCGCGTGGGCTATCATTTTGAGGTCCCCGCTGCGGTCTATGCAGTGTGAGGCCCGCTCTTGTCATCAGTGTAGGTCCTGGTTGGGTCTAGTGGAGTGTGAGGGGCGTGGTTAGTGCAGTGTGAGGTCCTGCTGCGGGTCTAGTGGAGTGTGAGGTCCTGCTGCTGGTCTAGTGCAGTGTGAGGTCCTGCTGCTGGTCTAGTGCAGTGTGAGGTCCTGCTGCTGGTCTAGTGCAGTGTGAGGTCCTGCTGCTGGTCTAGTGGAGTGTGAGGTCCTGTGCTGGTCTAGTGGAGTGTGAGGTCCTGCTGCTGGTCTAGTGCAGTGTGAGGTCCTGCTGCTGGTCTAGTGCAGTGTGAGGTCCTGCTGCTGGTCTAGTGCAGTGTGAGGCCCTTGCTGCTGGTCTAGTGCAATGTGAGGTCCTGCTGCTGGTTCTAGTGCAGTGTGAGGTCCTGCGGGCGGGTCTAGTGCAGTGTGAGGTCCTGCTGCTGGTCTAGTGCAGTGTGAGGTCCTGCTGCTGGTCTAGTGGAGTGTGAGGTCCTGCTGCTGCTGGCACATTCTTGCTTGAGACACTCAAGCTGGTGCTGGAGAGCGTCTCTGAGAACGAGCTTGTACTTGAGGTCCCTGGCCAGGAGGGGGTCCAGCAGGAGCCTGGCCGAGGGCTCCACCTGACCAGCTCTCTTCTTGCTTCTTGCTTGCTTCTTGCACACCTCTCGCACCTTCTCCCTTTCCTGCAACGTGAAAATAGGAAAGTTTATTATTATTATTATTTTTTTTTATTTTTAATTAAACAGCAGGCCCCGCTTTCAGCGTTTCGCTAATACAGGGGTTTTCAATTAACCATTTCATTTTATTCAGATTCCCTACAATAAATATATTCATCACTCACTATAAGCTATGGTCGAAAATATTTTAGAATAGGTAATGTGTGTACTGTATATGCATTTTTTAGGCCTATCTCTGTTGCTCACTTAATATATAATATTGTCAACATGGTGTTATATGCAGCTGAAAGTGAACCAAAAATAAGGCCATGTTTCACTTTACAGTGATTTTCGCTTTATATCAGCAGCCTGGAAACTAACTTGCTGTATAAGTGGACCATCCCCTATTATTATTATTATTATTATTATTATTATTATTACCTGTAGTATAACTGGAAGGGTTTCGTGGGTCAACGCCCCCGCGGCCAGGTCTGTGACCAGGCCTCGCGGTGGATCAGGGCCTCATTATTTTTTTTTCAACAAGTTGGTCGTCTCCCACCGAGGCAGGGTGACCCAAAAAGAAAGAAAATCCCAAAAAGAAAATACTTTCATCATCATTCAACACTTTCACCACACTCACACATAATCACTGTTTTTGCAGAGGTGCTCAGAATACAACAGTTTAGAAGCATATACGTATAAAGATACACAACATATCCCTCCAAACTGCCAATATCCCAAACCCCTCCTTTAAAGTGCAGGCATTGTACTTCCCATTTCCAGGACTCAAGTCCGACTATATGAAAATAACTGGTTTCCCTGAATCCCTTCACTAAATATTACCCTGCTCAAACTCCAACAGATCGTCAGGTCCCAAATACCATTCGTCTCCATTCACTCCTATCTAACACGCTCATGCACGCCTGCTGGAAGTCCAAGCCCCTCGCCCACAAAACCTCCCTTACCCCTTCCAACCTTTTCGAGGACGACCCCTATCCCGCCTTCCTCCCCCTATAGAGTTTAAATACTCTCCATGTCATTCTACTTTGATCCATTCTCTCTAAATGACCAAACCACCTCAACAACCCCTCTTCTGCCCTCTGACTAATACTTTTATTAACTCCACACCTTCTCCTAATTTCCACACTGCGAATTTTCTGCATAATATTTACACCACACATTGCCCTTAGACAGGACATCTCCACTGCCTCCAACCGCCTCCTCGCTGCTGCATTCACAACCCAAGCTTCACACCCATATACACTGGATTAATGGTGAATGTATGCATGTATGTATACAATGTTATTCATAGAGCCAAACAATAACTTTAAATCTAAAACTCTAAATACATTCATTGAAATTTTTGTTTTTGTGATAAATACTTATTGTATGGAGGATGTATAGTTGTATGTATACAGTGATTGTATGTATTATACACACGGTTGTATGCCGGGTGAAAATCAGTAATTAAGTGGATGGTATATGTGCGTTTTCCATTAGTGGTTATGGGGAGTCTGTCCCCCCCCTCCCCCTTTGACCTTTGATGAGTTCCGAGAGCTTTTCTACTCCCGCAGCCCGGCCATGGTCCAGGTTCGTCAGGTGTCTACCTGGTCAACCAGGCTGTTGTCCCCACAGACTGGTCTCAGACCAGACTGCAGAGCTTATAAGAAGCACATAGAAGAGTAATGTGTATACTGAATGTAAGTGTACGTTTGTCTGTCATCTTGTATGCAAAGTATTGATAAATGGGACACTTGTGCAACACTTGTGTGTCTTTATTCTGGAAACGTTTCGTCAACTAGTGGCTTCTTCAGTCCAATGTAGAGAAAAATGGAAGATGAGGAGTTCAGGTAATCATTCCCTCAGCCTGGAGTCTATGTTCAGTCCATCAGTCTTGAGAAAAGTCCAGGCTGACAGACTGATTACCTCAACTTCTCATCTTCCACGTTTCCTTACAATGTACTGAAGAAGCCACTGGTTGGCGAAACGTTCCACGGTAGACACCCAAATGTCGCACAAGTGTCTCATTTATTAACTTGTCAGTTTTCTAAACCCTTTATTTAAACACAAAATATTATTGAGTGAATTATACACTGACTGTTATGGTAACATATTCGAGTAACCTGCACAAACGTCTCTCATCCCAGCTACATCATACACGTTAGGGATCTGTTTACTAAATTTGCAACTCTGAATGAATTTTGTTGAAAATGGTAGAAAATACCGTCAAGTTGATGATTAAGAGACTTGCAACAGTTGGCTATCTTTATTGATGAAACGTTTCGCCTATACAGTAGATTTCTTCAGTCAAATACAGAGGCAGCAGTAGTAATGAAATAAAGATGATGTAATCAATCCATCAGCCTGGAGAAGAGTTGACCTCCATGGAGATGAACTCGTCTCCAGGCTGAGGGACTGATCACCTCAAATACTTTTTCTCCAAGGTTGATGGACTGCTTACATTATCTTCATTTCATTACTACTGCTCCTTTTGTATCTGACTGAAGAAGGTTACTGTGTAGGCGAAACGTTTCATCAATAAAGACACCCACGAGTACACTGAGAGACAATACAGTAAATGTCAGGGGCCCAAGACTGTTCAATTGCCTCCCAGTATACATAAGGGGGATTACCAATAGACCCCTGACTGTCTTCAAGAAGGAACTGGACAGGCACCTAAAGCCAGTACCTGACCAACCGGGCTGTGGTTCGTACGTCAGCTTGCATGCGGCCAGTAGTAACAGCCTGATTGATCAGACGCTGACCCACCATGAGGCCTGGTCTCAGACCGAGCCGCGGGGGGCGTTGACCCCCGAAACCCTCTCCAGGTAAACTGTTGCACATGTGTCTTAATCTTTAATGTGTTTTATTGTTCTAAGTTGAAGATTTGATTTCAAGTTATTTTATTGTCATTTATTCATTTTTTTTTTTCAGCAGTAAGGAATACCATGAATATTTTTGGTCTACTAAAGTTCCTCCTCAGGCGTCTGAGAGTCTCTGGTAGACCGAAAATATTCACGCTAGTTCTGTACCATTGAGGTTTGCATTACATAGATGGTTTGTCTAAATGCTTTAGAAAATCGGCGGATTGATAAGTGAGACACTTTTGCAACATTAAGGTCTGCCCGAAATGCCTCGGCATGATAGTGGCTTTCTTTGTACTTAGCAAATCAATATTGTAATTGCACATTGTAAACTAAACATGGAACTAGACTCCTTATAACATGTCAGTCACACGTTGTAAACTATACAAAGAAATCAAAATTTGAATTTGACATAGAGGGTTAGAATACCAAGTGAAAAAGAATTATTCAGTGGATATTTCTGTGTGAACAGAGTTTGTCTTACATGGTTAGATTAGGTAAAGTTTGTTAGGAAACAGGACAAGTGTTTCCTGACGAGGGTCTTAATCTTATGATGACCCGCCGCTGGAGCTTTTGGTCATCTGACCGAGGCCTTCCACTGGCTTTAAAAATTTTGGTTGCCTTACATGGAGAGTTGAATCTACCTGTTGTAGCTGGGAGCGTAGATGAGAGAGAGTGGCCTCAGCATCCAGCAGCTGGCGCATCAGTTCCTTACTCAGCTGGCTACTTTTCCTGATGGTTGAAGTGGTATTCTTCAGGGATTCCTGGTGGGCGAGGATTGCTGCTCTCCTGAGTGTGTTGGGTGGGGGGATAGGTAAGTTTATTTAGGCACAGATACATATAAATACAATTACCATACATAGTGTAAATTACCTAGGATAACCCAAAAAAGTCAGACAACGTGTCCTGGTTACTGCAGTTTGTTTTTATTCTCGGTGCATCATTTACCTTCCAAGATGATGCCTTGAAGCTGTTAAGGCCTCTTGATGCAAGGAACTAGAGCTATCTTTTCCTTCCTCAAACCAAACTTCATTACCTCCCTCGGGTTTAGCACTACGCCATGAATATAATAATAATAAAAAGGGTAGAATTACGAATTCTTTTAGTTGGGGACTAATTCCGTTTTCTTATTTGTCAGGAATTTAAGAAAACAAGTAACAGCCTTAAATTAATGGGAAACTTAAGCATTTTATAAGCTTGATTTTTCATGGAGTATTAACTCAACTCGTAGGGTCATATAGCTCCTGGAGAAAGGGTAGGATAGCTTCACCGCTGCCCTGCAGCGGTATCAAGGTACTCCCTTGAAGGGCGACCTTGCACGTTTACATCTCATTAGCATGTAGTTTTAGTGGTTTTAAAGTAATGTTTGAACTAAGAAGACTATGATATATGTGAAGACTCAATAATGTGGAAGGACTCCAGTGGAAATAAGCCCGACTGGATGATTAATGAGGTTAAATTTAAAGCCTTACCGGGATTCGATTTCCCGCCGGGGAGGAAGCTTTTCAAGGATTCCAATGGAAATAAGTCACTGTCTAACTTTTTTGGATTATCCTAGATAATCTACACATATGCTGTTATGTATAAGTTATGTAACTATTTATGTGTACCTGTACCTAAATAAAAATTTACTTAACGCTGGTCATTAAGGCTACCAAAATCACAATATACTAGTGGTTTTCTTTTGTCCTTAATTTTTTTTATACTGCACAAAAGAAATATTATAATTATTATAATTATAATCAAGGGGGAAGCGCTAAACCCGGAGGATTATACAGCGCCTAGGGGGGGATGTGGAAGGCATTCAGGCTTAATTCGGGGAACTGGAGCACAGATCCAATTCCCTAAATCAAGAGCCCCTCACCAACATCAAGGAACTTTCCTTGAGGGGACAAAAGAAATAAAATTTGCTTGTTTGTTTATTTATTCACCACCAGTCGGGAGTATTTTTTTTTCCTAAAATTTTGGGTTTGAAAAAAACGTAAGCGTATTACACTGAGAAAGATATTTTCTCTATAATATCCTGTGAAGCCAAAAGGCTTGATTTTACATATAAACTTTTGTTAAGTTTTCACTTATGATTAAGCTTTTTTAAAAAACTTACGTGCTTACGGGCCCGTTTGTACGTGTGTGGGTGAGAAGAGCTGGATCAAGATCACGGAA